GTAACAGAAAAAAAGATCTGATGTCGCAATTTCTAAAAAAAAAAAAATTGTCAGTTTTTATTGCCACTACTGTAAATATATTTTTGTATCTGGTGCAAGTGTTTATATAAATTTAAGAAAAGCTAGTTTTTAAATAATCATAAATGGCTGTTGATTTATAACAATCCAATAGATAAGTTTTTTTTCATTTTTGCAGAATTGTATATCCACTAGATATAAATAAAATTTAGTAATATTTTTTACAATTTTGAAATATTTTGAAAATTAACTTTGTTTTAAAAAATTTTATTATATTGAAATTATCAGTTATTAGATTTAATTTTGCTAAATGGGTTTTTTTATAATGTTTTATAAGATTAAAAGTACTACTTCTACTACATATATACAGTATATTGTTTTATAATATTTACAAGTAGCCTTTTTGTCATTTTTAAAATTTAAACTTTTTATAAAATGTTTTCATGCTTTGCTCCTAGAAATTATTGAAATAATTAAAATAGTTTCTGATAAATTGCTTGTATCAACATTGTCATTGTCATTATTATTATAGCTTGTTAAACTATTATTTTTTTTATACAAAAATTACATATTATTGAATAAGTTTTCATGTTTCATTTTTAAAAAATATTTAAATTGTTAAAAAATAAGCTGTATTAATTAAAGCAGTTAAATATAAAGCTATAATATTAAAAAAATTAAAAAAATTTTTTTTGATATATAAAACTCACCAAAAATTTTAAAAAAAAAACTTTTTAAAAAATTATTAAAAGAGTAAAGTAAACAGATATTAAATTTTTTTAACATAATCTTTTATATATTAATTAAAAAAAACAAGTTTTTCATTTTAATTTCTTAATTAGTTCTATTTAAATAAAATTAAATAGCTATTTAATAATTTATATAGACTAAGCTATATCTAATTTGAATCTGATTTATATCCAACCAGATTTAAAAATTTAAAATTCGATTTGATTCAAATTTAATCAGATTAAAAATTTAAAAATTTGATTTAATCTGATTCGTATCTGATTTGTAAATCATTCAGATTTGGATAAAAACTATGATCCCTAGTAATTAATATATTTGTTAACTTATATCTAGTATATAAGTATTAATATTTTTTAATATTAATTTGATTGGTTTTAAGTTTTTTTTCTTATATAATTTACTTTTTGTACTTTTTAATTGGATGATTTATATTGAAACATATTATATAAATTTTGTCTATTATTTTATATTATATTGATTATATGTTTTTTTGTGATATATAGAAAACTTTGATAACTTTTTTATGTTTTATTAATTTAAAACCAATTATTGCAAATTTTTTGTAAAAATAATTTTTTATATAAAAGATATAATATATTTGTATATGAATATTTGTTTTAGATTATAACTTATTATATTTGATAAAAGATTATATAATTTGAGAATATATTAATTGTATTATGCTTTGATCTTATTAATATTTATATATAAAAAGATTTTAATTAAGTTGATCAAAAAAGAATAAATTTATTTCTATACTGATTAATTATATTTTTCTTGATTAATAAACTTGATATTGATTAATTATTATATTTTATTTATGATTAATATGATATTTTTAATTTGTTTTAGTTTGAAAAAGACTTTTGTGATTTGATTTTGTTGTATATAGAAGTATGTTTTATGTTTTGATTATTTTTTTTTTAATCAAAATTGAATTAATTATTATAATAAGTTCTATAGTAATTTGCATATTATTATATATTATAACATTTGTAACTTTTTTTACATTGTTTTTTGAAATAAATATTGTGATTACTATTTTGTTATCATTCTGTATAATAGTATATATTTCTTTAAGAGATTCCAAATAAAAAGAATTTATTTAAGGTTATTAATTTTTTGTTAAGTTGTTTTTTCTAAAATATTTGTTAAAGATATTTGTATTTTGTAATATTGTTTTTTGTATTCTTTACTTCAATTAATTAAAAGAATAAAATATAACTTTTGAGTTCTATTGTAGTTGTTTTATTATTAAAAGATTTCTTTATTTCTTTACTTTTTTTTTTGTTTTTCTGATTTACTTGGATTTAACTATTATTATTTTTACTGTTTGAGATAAAACCTGAAATAATATTGGAGTTAAAAAATACAACTGTTATTGATATATTATTTTTTTATTTCTTTTGGTTATCAAGATCTATGATTGAAAGTTGTTCTTGCATTTATTCAGATATGATTTTTCCTATTAGGATTGGATTAAAATTTGCAGATTTTTTTTTTGATTGGCTTCAGATAGTAACCTTTTTTTGAGAGATTATAAAGAAATAAAATTTCACTTTTCTATTATGTTACTAAAAAAGACAATTTTTTGAAATTGAATATATTGTGAAAAAAGATTTTTTTAAAAAAATTATTTTATATAATATATATTGAAAAAAAATATTTTTTTTATTTGTTATAAATTTTTATAAATTTCTGAAACAACTAATATTAGTATTAAAAATATTTCAATTATTTATTATAATAACAACAATAAAAGTATAGGAAACTATTTTAAAAAGAAAATAACAGGTAATTTGAGCTGATAAATTTTTATTAAAAAAAAGATGATGATTAAATATTTTAAAAACAAAATTTACAAATCAACTATACAGTATATGGTCAATGGTTAAAAAGAAACAAAAAAAAATAATCATAGCTTGTACTATGCAATATTTATCTTGTATAAACGAAACCATAAGATCTTATTTTATCATTATTTTATCATGATTTCTAATTTATGTAAAAATCATATACAGATTTACAAGTTTACATCTGTCCATCGCGATCATCAGACTTAGAATACACAAAAAAAAAAGATTGAATTCACAAGAACCTAATATTATGTAAGAAAAACCATTTCAGAGAAAGTCATTACCGAGATACAAAATAATTTTGCATTTGTAGATTTAATACATATTGATAAATTGGTTGTATTAGCTAAAATCAAATTAATAAATTTAAATATGAGTACTATTAATAAGTTTTTGTATATACACAGTATACAGTATATTCAACATTTAATAATTTACACCTGAAATAGATCATGTTTGGTGATAAAAAGTCATTTGTTGATGGGGAAAACCATTTGCGCCTCAGAATTTGTGATTTTCGAGATTTTCATGACTTTCAACTTTCGCGACAGCACTTAAATGGGTTGTTTGTAAGTGAAGATACTTGTAATCTAAGCTGTATTGGATTTAATTTATAAAACAAGATAAGTTGAAATAATACATGGGTATAGAATTACTGTATGTAATGTATACATCGAATAAATACGGTATGAAAAGCAATTATTATATTACGAACACGTATACTGTAATTAAATATATGCATAAAAACCATTTATCACTTCCGCGACGCTAAATATTTAACCAAAGTGATTGGGTTATTTAAAATTGAAGGAGATCACTATTAAAATGGACGGAATATTTTTAGTCAGATAATCCGTTATTTGATACACGATTTGCAAAATAGGAAATGCACACGTGAGTCGAGATTTTGGAGAAAGCAGAGAAACCGAATTTTGGAATATCTAATGCCTCCGCACTTTCTAAATCATTACCGGTTTTAGAAACCGAAAAAAACCTCCGGTTGGTCTACTTCGAAAATTATTTACATGTAGATTCCTTTTAAAAGTTCTTAGTATGCGGATAGTTTTCGGCACAAGAAATTATTGCCATTTTATTATTTGATTCAGAATAGAGCAACCGGATCCGACTTGTTACATATACCGAATCCATTAATTATTAGAGGGTGTCATACACCTCGGCACCACAAAGGTTCAGTATAACGAAGACCATCCATTGTTCGCTGAAAGATTTTCACCTGGTCCATAGTCATAAACAATAATGCAACAAAGAAAATCCAATGTTATTTCTATGAATGCATGCAAGTGAAATCACATTATTAGTGTCAAGTAGGTTAAAAACGACGAGAAATGGTCAGTTACGCAGGGATCAGTTCGCACCACGTTAGAAATAGGGAATTTTTTTACTGGTCCATTTTCCGTGTCCTCTTTTCTCATTTAGCCCTTAATTCACTCACGCTTTAAAAAGAAATTATTTGCACTCGATAATGAAAAGTTCGGGTTATTTTGACCAAAACGCTTTAGTCAACCTTCTTGGTGCGAACATTTCATGTGTCTGGAAGATCAAAGAATCATTAATTGCAGATTACGTGTGAAACTTGCTTTTGCACCGAAAAAAGCTTCTCTATAAGGACTGATTGTATTAAATGTACAATCTTAAACTTAAACGTTTGGATAAAAGCATTTATAAAAGGAAATATATAATCTAAGTGTTGTACTACATAAACGTTTTGCCTTATTGATTTTTTTTTTTTGAAATATATATATATATATATATATATACATAAAAGAGAAAATTTTTTGGATTTTATGATTTATTAAACTGCCCTCAAAAACATGCTTTCGGAGACTGTCTACGCAACCTATCCTTTCAACGCTGTGAATGATGATGAAATAAGCTTTCAGCGTGGAGATCCTATTATAGTGCTGGAAAAGGACGACATATACGCGGATGGTTGGTGGCTGGTAATTTTCCTTTACTTATTCTTAGAGATTCGATTTGTCAAAGATTAAATGGTAAACTAAAATCCAACATTTGAATACCTTCGTTTTTCTGATGATCGGCGATCTCAAATTTAACAAATCGATGATGACCACCCATTAGGGTCAAAACATTCACGGACACATTGGACTTTTCCCTATGAATTACACAAGTTATAGTAGACCTGCATCACATTCGTCATCCGGCGGTTCTGTTCAAAATAGTGTTGAAAAAACGGCGACTGAAAATAATAGTAATAATGGCGGAAGATCAACCAAACCACCGTCGCCGTTACCTAGTTTTAATGGCCGAACGAAAATATCAGGCCCCGAACCTCGGATGCAAAGTCCTTTAGTTAGTTATATACAAAATAAGTTGCATGAATTAGTCATGGATAACGAAAAAACGCCTGATATCTCGAACTCTCCTCCAACAACCTGGAATGTAGAGCAGGTGTGCCAATGGTTAAGAAAAGAAGGGCTTGACTCGGTGATAGATCATTTTGTTGGTAAGACCCCTTCATGCATTTGTACGTGCTTCGTTCCACCAATAAATATTTTTTTCAATTTCCATTATCTTTTATGCATAATATTTAGAAAATGACATCACGGGTGATATTCTAATCAACCTGGACCGGGATTCTTTAAAAGAATTGAATATAGTTTCATACGGTAAACGAATTCGCATAATGAATGCCATAAAAGTTCTTAGAAGTGAACACATACCAGATGCGAACGAAAGTTACAATAACAAGGTGAGGCCTAAAAATTTATTCGGATGCCTTTTGACTTCAAACTTGTAACTGACTTCTTATTTCTGACCAGTCAACTAATGATCAGCGGTCGAACGGAAATTCCGGCCAAAATACAAGATCTCCAACTTTGAAGTCGACAACATCGGGTTCTACAGTTGGTGACTTACAACCATATACCGAACAAAGAGTCTCCTCGGACACCGGCAAACGTCTTTTCTCCTCGATGTCGACAGGCACTTCGCAAGAAGTTGTTAAAAACACGAATTCTTTCGGAAGCCCTGATGGGGATAAAATTCAGGTAAATTTTACTTCGAAAGAGTGCGATCGATTTTTTTTCTCGAATATAATCAAAGCATCGAGTTTTCGTGGTTATTAGACTATGGCTGAAAAATATTTTGGAAAAAAGAGCCAAAAGATACTCTCAAAACTTAGTCTTGCGAGTAGGGAGGATAAGGAAGATGAGAGAAACAATGGAACAATGGTTTTCAGCAGGGGGAGGGAAGTTGAGAATGAGATTTATGAAAAAAATGGAGGCGAAAAGATTTCGCACCATTTTTCATTTAAATCTAAGAAAAAGAAAAAAAGGAGCAATTTAACAACGAATGGCGGATGGAATTTCTGGATGGTAATTTTTGAATAATTTTCTTGGATTCTGAAGATATGTAATATTAAACGTTGTTTTTAGGAAGGTGAAGAAGTCGAAACAAAAGAATTTGACGATGGCGAGAGGTTTAAGAGCAAAACGTTGGGTGCCTCCTATCGACCGATTTTTTCAGAGAAGGATCAATCACCCGAATCAATTTTTCGCGGAAACTTGAAAAAGAATTTACCAATGGTAGTAATTTTTTCTGAGTCGCTCTTTTCTTACAATTAAGATTCTTTAATTTATAAAAAAAATTTTTTTTTTAGGATCAAAACGGAAGTCAGACAGGTCAACCAAAGTATTCCGTAGAGTATGGATTATTAAAGAAACGTCATCTCATGTAATTTCTGTTCATCCCAATTAAGAAATATAATTTGTTTATTTGAACATAGGGAAGTGCGAGAATCAGATTACCCCGAAAGTAGGTTCACCGAGAGCGATGAAGAAAAAGTGATCTTGAAAAACATTGGTACACCGGATTATGAGGGATGGCTTAAAAAGCAGGGTGACAGATACAGATCATGGAAAAGTCGATATTGCATACTAAAGGGCGTCAATTTATACTATCTTCAAAGCGAAAAGGTAACAATTTTATGGTAATATTATCATCAGTGTATGATCTATCATAAATCTAATCACTTACGCGTTACTGTATAACGTACATACTGTATAGCAGTCAGTTCAAACTCCTCGGGTTAAAGGTCACCTGAATCTCACAGGCTATCGAGTCATATCAGATGAGGGCGTATTACACGGAAAATACGGATTTAAGTTAATACATGATACCAAACGAACTTATTATTTTGCACACGATAATTTGGAAAAAACGAGAGGTTGGATGAAAGCTATAATGAAGGCTACAATATCAAGAGACATAGGATGTAAGTTTCGCTTTCTAATGTAACAAACATCACTCACTAATTACACGTGATAATCAAACAATCGTTTTTTTTTTTCGTTTTACAACAGCTCCTGTGATCTCGTCAAGCAACCTTACAACCGTATCACTTTCTGAAGCTCAAAATATGAATCAGAAAATCTTAAATTCCACAAAGCTAGGCCGACCAAAATCACCAATGACGCCCTCTCCTATACTGCAAATTTCTGCTCCAATTGCAACCCGACCTACAGCATACGGCAGGAGCGATGTCTTTTAATCGACTTTCGTTACATCATCACAATATAAATCTGCAAACGCTTCGTGAGCTTACGTATAAAAAAAAATTGGCGTCATTTATGTATATATGTCAAACATGTGTATTCCCTTACAAACAATAATTATTTCATCTAACTAATCAATACTGGGAATCCAGAATTAATTTTGAAGACGAAAAAAAAAATTTCTAGGTATTTTATTTTTAGAGGGCGAATTAGGGTTCTGCGAGATTATATATACAACTTCAATATTATTATCTTAGATTTATAATATCTTAATTACTTTTTGCATCACACCATCCATTCCCTAAGAAAACTTTCTTACATTACTAAATTCCCGATTGAAAATTTGTTATTTAAACTTTACAGTAATACAGCCATCCGAAATTAGTTGGATATAAATTAAGTACACAATTAGTATTTAATATTTATGTTAAAAATCTTGATTATCAATCATTAATTATAAATTTGTTGATCATCAATTATTAATTATAAATTTGTTGATCATCAATTATTGATTATAAATTTAATAATGCTTAATTTGATAATTATAAATTTATTGATTAATAACTTGTTAATTATAAATTTATTGATTAATAACTTGTTAATTAATAATTTATTGATTAATAATTTATTGATTATTAATTTTTTAATTAATAATTTATTAATTATCAATTTATTAATTATCAATTTTTTTATTATCAATTTATTGATTATCAATTTTTTAATTACTAATTTTTTAATTACTAATTTTTCAATTACTAATTTTTTAATTACTAATTTTTCAATTACTAATTTTTCAATTACTAATTTATTGATTACTAATTTATTGATTACTAATTTATTGATTACTAATTTATTGATTATTAATTGATTGATTACTAATTTTTTGATTATTAATTGATTGATTATTAATTGATTGATTACTAATTTTTTGATTATTAATTGATTGATTATTAATTGATTGATTATTAATTGATTGATTACTAATTTCTTGATTATTAATTTCTTGATTATTAAATTTTTGGATTATTAATTTCTTGATTATTAAATTTTTGGATTATTAATTTCTTGATTATTAATTTCTTGATTATTAATTTCTTGATTATTAATTTCTTGATTATTAATTTCTAGATTATTAATTTCTTGATTATTAATTTCTTGATTATTAATTTCTTGATTATTAATTTCTTGATTATTAATTTCTTGATTATTAATTTCTTGA